GAAGCCGGCCCCATGCTGATTGGATGGGAAGCCGGCTTGTCAGCCAATCAGCATGGGGCCGGCTTCCTGGCCAATCAGCAGGAGCCGGCTGTTCGGCCACCTCGATGCTGAATGGCCGGGAAGCTGGCTTCACAGCCAATCAGGAAGCCGGTAAGGTGGGTCATTACTCGTAGCTCTGCTTCCTGATCGCCTGGGAAGCCGGCTCCATGTTCCCCTACGGCCCTGCCAGTCAGAGGAAATCTTCCTCGGACTAGAAGTTCCGGTATCATGGAAGGGATCGCCTAAATACTCAGTATCCGCACCAATACTAGTATCGGTATGGGTGCATCCCAAGTTACAACCGCCATCTATGATTAGTTTGGGTTTGGGTGAAATAGCTCCTGCAAACTAAATGCTAACAATACATATATTGTTAGAACAGCATGACCGCCCAGCAGCTTACCACTACATATCTTACGGATTTTGGACCTTAAGAGTGTTCAATCTAAGAACTGTCTGTGTTCCTCCACATCCAATAGTGACATTCTCTCATTCTTCTTCCAGTGCAGTACGGGCTGTCGTTTTTTCAGACACTTCGGTAGCTTAAGCTGGCCATACACAGTTCTATTTTTTTTTTTTCATTCAACCCGCAGGCCGAACAAAAAAAAAATAGAAGAGATTCCTCCAATAACGCTTGCGAGCATTGATCGAGGAATCTCCCCCTGCTGCTTTTGTATTCTGACAGCGACCGCCGGCTCATTGGCTGATGGCTCTGTTCGAAGATTTTCCGACCAGCTCCTTCGATCAGCTGATAGAGGGATGCTGACAGCGACACACACTGTGCAAAGAACCGCCTGAAATTTGTATAACGTATGGCCACCTTAAGGCTCTTTGAAATATCACTGCATGGGATTCCCAATCCTGGTTTGGGGCACGCTGCATGGAAGCATAAAGACTTCAGTAGAAGTGACCTGACCTCTTGTAGAAGAATGTAAACTGAACATTTACCATGACCGTCCTCTGTCCACAGTCACCAGTCCGGAGATGTCAGTGTGGCCTCGTTCCTGCGACTGCACAGCTGCTCTTCCCAGTTACCCAGTATGCTCTGCTCCCTGGAGGAGCACAACTTCCTGTTCCAGCTGCAGGCAGGAGAGCGCCCCCCTGAGGATGCCAAAGAGGTGAGAAGGAATATATAGGGGGTTTTGGGTTGCTGGGATATAGTTATGATATAAAGGAGAACTAATGAGGCGAGTGAAAATCACTAAGCCTCATAGTTCTAGCTGACCTGTGACAATGAAACTGTCACAAGTCGGCTCAATAGATCGGGAAGTGAGCGGACACATACCGTCGCTCGCTCACATCTTGATCTATCCCTGCAGAGAGCCGTGACTGTCACTTACGGCTCCCTGCAGGGATTCCCCCCCCTGCTCCGATCCTCCAGCGCTGACTGGCGGAACGGAGGGGGGAGAGGGCGGGTACAGGTGGCTCTGCCTCTAGATGGGCAGAGCCAGCTGTCACTCACACAGCTGGGTGGATCTCGACAGTAATGTCGGGATACGTCCCGGCTGCGGCGTCTCAGTATACCGCGAGCTGTAGCTCGCGGTATACTGAGCTTTGGGTGACGGGAGGACGCTAGTTTGTGTCCTCCCGTTACCCTTAGGAGAACTATGGGGAAAAGCCCTGAATCCATAGTTCTCCTTTAACTACTTCCGGGCCGCAATACGTCTATAGATGGCGGCCCGCAGAAGTGGTTAAAACAAGAACACGGCTGTTGCAGCAGCCGTGTTCTTGTTGCCATTGTTAACAGCCGGTGATGGCTGTTAATGTACAAGCGATCTGGCATCTATACAGCCGCCGGATCATTTGTACCGAGCGCTGCTGTGCCCTCCCTCCGCCAGAGCCGCAGTCGGCTTCCCCACGCACAGCTGTCCCCGTGTGGCACCCGGGACCGGCTCGGCCGGTCTCCCCGCAATGATCGGAGAGAGATTCAGCAGCTTCCAGCCACTGATCTCTCCTCCGATCACTGGACCCGGACGTGATGTGTATTAAATCACTTCCAGTGTCACTATTTACATTCTCCGGCTCTTAGAGCCAGGAGATGAAGCTGGGGAAGCGGATATTTGCTTTCTCAGCTTCTTTGGGCTCCCTAGGTGACATTATGCCTCCATAAAGAGGACCTGTCACACCCTATCTGCTATTACATAGGGGCTTCATAGGGTTAGTGTAAAATAAAAAAGTAACATAAAAGAAAGTTTAAAG